TCCTCCCTATGGGAGAAGAGCGATAGTCATTTGTAAAGTGTGGCCTTTCCTCAACAGTCTGTCCTTCATTTGTGTCCATCTATTTGGTCTTTTGGTTTTCAAACAAGTGCGTTGTGATGTGTAAGAGTACAAGAGCTTAAGTCAAATGTAGTGAACACTCCATGTTGCATGAGACTGTCTTGATAGCAGTATGATGCTACCCATGATGAATGGGTTCTGCTGTCATATCTGAACAGATATCTGAAGAGATATGACAGCACGAAAAGCAAGTAAAAATTCAAGTCATTCAATGTCAACTTTTAAAAACCTTGCATTTATGGTTCAAAACGCCCAGTTCGGGCTGAGCCTACTACTGCTATGAGAACACAAAATGGCCAGTGGCAGTAAAGTCTACGAGTCCGTGTGGTGAAAGCAACAGCAGACAAAGGAATATTGAATTATTTACATCATAAAGTTGTTTACATATTCATGAAGTTATGTGAATATTCATGACTAAACTGCAGAACTCCCTCCTCTGAAACAGTCTTGCACAGTGGAACATATGGGCACATGTACGACACTAAAGCATGTCATGAAATCGACTAATGATTTATGTTTGCACTGTAATCATGTGAAGCATTTAAGATAGTTCTCTATGGGGGCTTGAACTGGTGTCGTATATGAAAATTATGACTGAGTCCTAGGATTCAGTTCTCACTACATTATAAATAACCAAAACTATCACAGCTCATTTGTCCTTTTCGCCTGTGGGCACTGCACAGTATAAACACTAATACAGCAAAATACAGTTGGGTCAAATCTTACTATTTTGAATACATCTCCACATAACTGTCTCCACATAAGTGTTCAGGGCATGTTTTACTGCGCTGCATACTGACAGATATACAATATAAAGTGATGGACTGGACAAAAAAAAGAGAACAGGATGGAGGGAAGAGAACTAGAAAGCAGAGAAGCATCATATTTCATCCCTTCCCTGTCTAAGAAAATTAGAAATGACAGATAAATGAACGAAAGGAAGGAAAGAGAGAGAGACTGACCTAGCACTTGCATTGCTGGCAGGATTTCCAAATCAGAGTTCACAGACAATTTGAGTGCAAAAACTGATTCCTTTAATCTAAATGATAGAATGACAGCATATGACAACTATCTTTGTACACTATATACAGAACCTCTTACAAACAAACATCAAACAGGAGCATAAACAATGCAGATACGCTGCAAAGCTGTGTTTCAAGCCTTTAGGGGAAAGGTGCAGGTCTCAAAGGCACAGTATGCATGTGTGTGGTTGCGCAGGACGATGAGGTAACTCAGCGCCACTCTGTTACTATGCACCCTGCAACCCTCCCGGGACCCCCTGCAAAAACTGCAATGTGTTAGTGTGTGTCAGGGAGACTGCGGCGCTATATTTAGGAAAATAACATGGGGCCAAAGACCTATGACACGTCTCTTAAGCACAAACACAGCAAACAGAGGAAGAGAAGAAGGGAAATAATGCTCTTTCATCATTGTAGTTTATTGCTACATGTTTCAAAACTTATTATAACATGCAGGTGACACTTGTTCATTTCTCTATCTCGAGAAAAATATGATATCTGTAAATGTATAAATTATATACATGAGAGGATAAAGGCGTCACAGGAATGGCTCAACATGCATAAATGAGTCAAGTCAGTTCAGATGGAAAAATATGCTCAAATCAGACTTCTTCGGCTGTTAGAGATTTAATGAACTGGGAGAGTGAGTCACTTTGGGCTGAGTTAGTTTGTAAAAACAACCCCATTATTGGCACATTTACAAAATTATTAGTCTTATTATTTACAGTGACCTACAAGTGTGTGCTATTTTCTGCATACAGTGAATCCCAACTGTTGTTTATACTACGCTTATTATATAACAGCCAACAGGTACTGGGACCAGAATAGTTTATTTGTACCTATTCTGCTGATCCGCAATCACAGCAGTTCAAAGAACACTGCCATCAAAGGGACACAACAAGTGGTTGAAAAGTCTGAATCAACAACTTTACAGATCAAATGATTTGTCACTTTCTAAGAAGGCAGTGCTTTATTTTGACAGCACAGTCAAGGTTTTAGGAGATCTGAGCAGGCAACAGGTTTGAGGACAAGTTGCTGCAGGCAAACAGCCTCGTGGTGTCTGTCACAGCAATCCTGTCATGACTTACTGCATGTAGACTGGTATTTATGAGTAGCCAATGCAATTAACTGTTACAACACAACATAAACACAGCAAACTAGGATGCATAGGATAGGACCTGCAGGGCAATCTTCACATGGTTGTCAAGGAACCAGTGACTGGCCTTAAGCACCAAACGCCGCGGTCCTCACTCCACACACACACACACACACACACACACACACACACACACTTTAGGAGAAATCACAAGAATCTGATGTTTTTACAGATAACAATGTGGACAGAAGAATAACCAAAATGGCCACGTATGCCAAGGACATTGCGAAACCTCTTCTAAGTCCGGTTCGAGTGGACCGCAGTCTCGGTGTGAGCTGTGCACGGTTGACGCTGTCAGCCTACCGGCCAGCTAACATTGGCTAGCGTTTGCAGAGCAATATACTGAATAGATGTAGCCAGCTGTCCGCAGGTTAATGATAAACCCGATAACCCACTACCAGAGTACTCCCAGTTTAAATATGTGACTGGGATCCCCCAGAGTGGTGCCTCTGAGCTGCTACACCTGGTCCAGTTACTGGCGCGTTCAACCCTCAACTAACGCTAGCTAGCCGGCTACTAACGCTAGCTAGCTGGGTTAGCTCGTAAGTTTCATAAAAGCTATTTAGTTCCACCATTTAAGTAGCTGCGGCTCCTGTTAGCAGACTATTCCCTAGTCACCATGAGCCAGTGGCAATCTCTGCCCCGCAGGACTGCAGAGTATTTCACCTCCTGCTCTGACAGCTCACGTTGGGCTCGATGCATGTAGCCCTGAAGCTGCTAAGTTCAGTTAGCTAGTTAAATGGGCGAGTCCACTCCGTCCCCAGTAAGTTGCGATTAGCCATGTTCTCCTCCCTCGCTGCTTCAGTTGATGCTTGGTGAAACGCAGGTTGCCCTTACCTCGCTATCCACCACATCGTGGTATGCAGGCGGGGGATCAAACCCCGTCCCGGTCCGCCCGCTGTTTTCCCCGTCTCCACTCGAGCCCACGCCGGGGGCAGGCCCGCTCTCCATCGGCTCGTATCCATAACCGAGTCCGGGGCTTTCGTTCGTCAGGAGCGCCACTGCCTCGTTGATGTCGTTCTTTGCCAGCCGGAGCGCTTTCCGTATCACGTCGGGGTCTGGGAAACCCATGCAGAGGAGCGTCGTTATGTGCTGCTCCTCTTCGGTCTCCATTTTGGGGGTGTCTCCGTCTCTCAGGCTAATAGTAACGGGGTGTTCGGCACAGCCCTGTGGCTGTGCACGCCGCCATGTTTACAGTCCACTGCTGCTAGCCTGTCACGATCTGGCTTCCCCCACAACAGCGCCGACACAGGTGTTATGGCGAGTTCTGCTTGCCAGGAACTGCATGCTCTTCGCGGGAGCGCGCACGGTGAAAAGTCCTTGACGTTTAATGATTTCCAGAGTTAATTACAGTTTAACAACATTTTTTATCGTCGGGTCTATCGACTTTATATTGGCCAGGTAAAAGGGAGAACAGTTATGCGTAATTAAACATAAAAAAAAACACGTGACTTACTATCTCATAATTTTAAATTCACCATCATATAACTGGTAAAAAAAAAAATTTTCAATCAGTTCCTAACTTTTCATCAATTTTTACCTGGCAGAAATCGGCCTCCGTAGATTACGAAATGCATCAGATAAATGCATCTCATGTTATTTCAGATAACACCAGTAACAGTGTATGTAGTGAAATTAATTGTTCATGGTATCTAATTTAAAATGACAAAACACTTAGAAAACCACTTAACCCTAGGGAATTCAATTGTAAAAACACAAGCCTTGCATGGGAACAATGGTGACTTATTGTCACTTGGTGGGGATGTTCTTCAAATTGTGATAAAATACTGGGGAACAATGGTGTATTGTTGGGGTTCAATGTAGGATTCATCTGAAGATCAAAACTGATGTTAGAGAAGCTTATGGCTTTTGTTTCCCAATATCATCAGACCGTAGACAGTAAAGTAACTGAATGTACTTTCATTCAGAAACAAATTTAATTGAGGTTTATTAGACACAACTATACAGTGTAAATGGTGCTGCAAGCTATCATCACTCACATTCTCTGTCAACTTTAGATGTAACTTTTCTTGCAGATCACTAAACAGCCATTACCTCATCTGAAATAACTTGTGCATTTACTGTAGTGTTATTCTTAAGTACCCCTTTTACAGAGAAAGATGAGACGAGGCTATATTTTGAAAGAAAGCCAATCTGTGTTCCTACTATTGTGCTGAGCATTTTAGGTGGCTCAGTGCTTTCACTCACTTAAATTACAGCAGCTTAAAGCTATAAAAATGCAAACAGCAAATGTTAAAGCAGAAAACGTGTATTTTGTGATGGAATATGACATGCAGACACATTAATGGAATAATAAAACTTTATTCAAAAGCCATTTAAAAATACTTTGCAATAGTAGTTTATAAACTGGCAAATTCAATTATTTTTATTCTCTTTTTTTTAACTTTCAGACTGCATAAATGGTCAAAGTCTCTCATTATTCCAGTGGCACACTACAGCTTCCATACTTTTATGATTAATGACATTTTATATTGTAAATTAATAAACATTTTTTATTAAGTACTAATTTAAAGGCGCCATTCGTGTAAACAAGTGGACCATCAAAGAAAGAAACGAGCTGCAGTAGTTTGTTGTGCCAGTAACAAATATGAGCGACTGTAATCAACTTCTGATCTATAAATACTGTCTATTGATTCCTCACATTCCAACATCATAAGGGCGTGGCAGTGCGCGCGAGTAGGGGTGGTGGTTGTGGTGGCGGGCGAACATCACGTGAACTCTCAGCTCATGTGACAAAGGAAAGTCAAAACAGGAACAAAATGGCTGCAACTGGCGACGACGCCGCAGCCATGGACAGCATCTCCAGAGCACCAGCGGCCCATTCAGCGGCTCTCAACCCGGTCGCAAGCTCCAGCAGTCAGGGAGAAGGACCGGAGGTTGTGGCAGAAAGCCCGGTGGTTGTTCCCAAAAAGCCCAACACAAACAGTGAGTGATGTTTCCTTGCAGCTTCCGTAGCTTGCTAATGCTAACGTAGAAGAGAGGAAACAACTTATTTTGCCTTTAAGCGTGTCCTCCGCTTTTCATCCTATATGTGGCACTACTGTTTTCCCATTGTGGATATATTTAGCGTTCAAACTGGATTGACAGTGTTTTGTATTTGTCCTGCTCTCGCTGTTTGTGTTCAGGTGATGGTGGTGTGGAGACAGCAGAGGAGGCTGTGGAGCCTGCAGAGCCTGATATCAATGAGCTGTGTACTGATATGTTTGAAAAGATGGCCGTCTTCCTCCAAGGAGAACTAACAGGTCTTTTAACAAACTGCACCTTTTCTCTTATTCTCCCTGCACAGAAGAAAATCTGTGTTCTTAGTCAGAGATGTGATTTACTGATGCAGTCCTTTTTGTTGTCTTTTCTCTCACTCATATTCTCCTAATGTCCATGTTCAGGAACTTGCGAGGATTACCGTCTGCTGGAGAACATGAACAAGCTTACCAGTCTGAAGTACATGGAAATGAAGGATATCAGCATCAACATCAGCCGTAACCTGCAGGATCTCAACAACAAGTGTGAGTGATGCATTAACAGCGTGAAAACAAATTGTATCCTTATATTTCTGTGTGTTTGTAGTTTGTATATTATTTCTACTACTATACTGTGAACATCTGGCTGGTATGTGTGTTTGCTTTAGATGCTAGCCTACAGCCCTACCTGGACCAAATAAATCAGATTGAGGAGCAAGTTTCTTCACTTGAACAGGCTGCTTACAAACTGGATGCGTACTCCAAGAAGCTGGGTAATAAGTGTATAAGTATAAGTGTGCATGCTTGATATGTTTAATCCAAGAATATTCCAAGTTATCTTGAAATACATATTAATTCATAACTATATATTGAAAGTTAGTACCTCTAGTACAATTTTTACTGACCTATTCTAATCAGTATTTATAGACTTCCTTTATTTCACTATGTTTGATGAATGTTTTGTCATTGAGAGTACAATCCCTGTGTGAAACCTGACAGTCTCTTTCTCCATGTGCTGGTTATTTTGTCTGGTATGTGACCCACAGACCAATAATAGTACAGCCACCCCTGTCAGCTCATATTGCAAAGCATTATAATGTCCACCAGCAGAGGGCGCTGTGACACCACAGACAAATCTGCACCTAAATATTTCTATACTTCAACTCTCAAAGATAGCCAGACATTGCCTGATCATGTTGTATGATCCAGTCCCTGTCTCTTCTTATCTTTACAGAAGCCAGATTCAAAAAACTGGAGAAGCGATGAGCGGGAAGAAGAGGCAGACTGAGAGTTATGGTGCCTTCTCACCTTCTTTAACCTGAACTCGGCCTTGCCTTCCTCTCTCCGTGCCAGCGGAGCCAGGAGCTGCGAGGAGGATGTGAACTGAGACTGAAACAACAAACAGTCAGAGCCACTTAGACAACTAGAAACGACCAAGGAGGAAGCAGCTGAAGGCACATGAATTAGTACTGCAGCACTTGGCTTAGATTTAACTCCTGTATCATTGATCTTGGCAGCTGTCATGCAGCCAAGATGTACAAGAGTTTATGGTATTATACCCTTGTTCCTTTGCAGGTACACGTTATGTTGAATAAATCAGCCTAATTACCCGCATAACCTAACCGAGGGGTGGAATCAGATAATACTAATGTACTACTAAACAAAAAGAAACACTGAGACGTGTACCATTGGAGTATATAGAACATCTGTCATATGAAGATATTTACAAGAAGCATGCTCCTAAATGTGTTTTTAAGAATATCACAGCCCTCTGATTCTGAACATTTCAGGCAACTGATCTGTTGACACAGACTTATGGTAGTCTCAGTCTGTCAGATTCATTTGGATTTGTTTATTTCTCCAGGCACTACCACAAACTTATAGAGAGTTTGCTACTATTTAAAAAAAACCTACTGTGTAGAAAGCAGCTGCAAATTATACATCTCTGTAGAGTGAGTTGAAGGTTTGTGGTTTTAAATGAAAAGTATTTGATATGAATGAATTATTGCATTATGTCTATACGAAGATATCGACACTGGAAACTGGAGGATTTTTAAATAAACCATGATGTGCACATTATTGCGTGACTGTTTCCTTTAAAATGAGCCTACTGCTGACAGCAGATGGCAGACCTGCACCACGATGGGGACTTAAATTGATGCACAGTGGATGTTTTAGCCTTCTCAGAAGAAGAAAAACTCTGGGAAAAATTAGACCAAGAGTGGGAAACAGATGAGACATACTGGACAATTCAAAGGAAAGGGTGAATGTGTGGTTAAAGATGTGTGTGATGCCCTATGCTTCCTTTGTTTCCCTCCATTATATTAGCAGAACCCAGAGCTCTTTTTGCCATGGGCAACAGATGATATAAACTGACAGGACCTCCCTCCTGTGTGTGTGTGTGTGTGTGTTTGTGTGTGTGTGCGTGTGCGTGCGCTAATCTAAAACAGGTCTCTGTCATTAGTCCAGTTGAGGCCCCGGCACAGAGGGAGCTCATTATTCATACTGTAACATTATTTACTGTTGCACTGTGATCCTTCCATCTCTCCCTTTCCCTGCCTTTTTCCAGGGCCCTGGGGCATAAATTCAGCTCCCCTCCCAAAGGCTCTCAAATCAGTCTATTAAATGATTTTGGGGTTGTTTTCTGAAAGCTAAATATGAGTGCCAGGAGCCAGTCAAGCATAGAAGAGAAGGTAACATAGTAATCACAGGTAAACCTTTCTTATATTATTTATTTATTTTTATTCAGTTTTGGAAGTGCTGCAGAAGTAGATCATACTGTAGCAATATAGTTTGGCTGTGGAAAAGTATTATATTCTGTGTGTGTGTTAATGGTTTACAAACAGGTTACAGATTTGAAGTAAGGTCAATACTTTGATATCATATTATACCTAGATAAAATATAGTTATGACGTGTACAGGAGGATGTGTTTGTTACATTTTTACATCCCACCATCTCCTCTCCATTTTAAAAAAAATTATATTTTCAAAAAACAAAGGGCTGTTATTCTAGTAAGTGTTGTCTGTACAGAAAAGGAAGCAGTGAAATAAAATAAATATACGTAAAAAATAAAAAAAAATGTAAATGGGAATGATTGTCATTGCAATAGCGTTTCTTCATCTTTTCCATATATTTCCAGTTCAGACCTAACAAGAAAAGTGCTTTGAATATGCATTTGTGCAGAGACTTTGAAACATCATCCAACAGACACGCTCATGTTGAGAGCAAATAACTGAATGTATAATGATTTCATGGTTCAGGTAACTGAAAACGTGTTCTGATTACTTACTAAAGACTGCCAACCAGGAAACAGCACATCAAAAACATACTAATGTATAGTGTATAGGATGGGTCAAATGCAGAGGATCAATTCAATGTATGTTAAACTACCAAGAATATGACAATAAAAGCTGAAACAGCGGAGACAAAAAAATTCCCAAAACATCAAACTGTTCCTTTAATGATTGCGAGTAGACATAGAACTCACCTTTAAGTCCATTCCATTGGGAAATGTTACTCAAAGTGGAGTCTATTTTCACGTACCTGTGTATTGTTTATGTGATGGTAAAGTGGAGTATTCCAGTGAGTAGTTGCAGTCAGACCTTGCAGACTCATTAGGTACCACCTGGTTTATCACTTTGGTCTTTGTAGTTTTTCCCCATCCTTAGCAATGTAACATGATCATGTCTGACCCTATGTAAGTTCAGAATGAGGATCTTCCAGCTGCATTCGGTGACCAACAAGTCATTTTTTCAGGCGATTACAGTAATAACCAAAACAAATACGCTTTCCTCAGAAAATAAGTCCCTTTTCACTGATTCCTGATCCCTATCCACAATGTAAATGCTCATTCCCAGGATTTAAATACACCACAGACAGCAGGGGGCTTTGTACAGACAATGAGTCCTCTGCAAATATGCTCTAAAGATTATCTTGCAAACCTAATCCTTTTTCCAGCATCCACTACTGTATACATACAAGGCTGAGACAATGCATACAGATATCTCAACATGTGTCCCATGCAATGCCAGGTTATATATCAGTTACATAGGAATGATTCTGATTGAATTGCACTGTGGCTTCAACTTAAAGATATAATCAACTTAAAATACAGATTACCCAAAATGGACCAAATAGACCTAACTCAACAAAGAAATTACTCCAATTGAGATCTTTTGAAATGATAACAGCCTCAATTTGATCTGGTCTGACAGACCTCAGGGGATTCCAGGAAATGTGACTGAGAGAGAATCAAACACATGTCCGTCATCAGCTGCAGCAAAGGAGCTGTTTTCTCCATAAGTCTAAAGTGGAGACTGGGCCAGTTAACAATAACAGGGCAGCATGCCACACCGCAGGGTTGTGTAACTGACAGGCAAGCACGAAGTTTGGGAAATTTCTGTTCGGCTGTGTTCATGAATGAGAGCGAACAAGGACACTTGATTTTCAAACCACATTTGTTCTGTGTTTTTCATCCTTGCTCAAAGTTTGCATTTCACTTAATTGGGCAATGTCAACAAATTTAGTAGTATTGTGAAATCCCTTTGTCTTTCACTCACTTTCTCACACACGCAGGCCGTGATGGGATAAACAGCACTCCATAACTGCACTCCAGGACATTTAAATACCCTCCTATGCCCCTGTAAAGTAGTGACACTATAAAGACAGCCAAATGGCCTGAGATAAATGGCAAAGAGGTTCATGTTTACATCCATTTCAAAGCAGCCAATAGATCTGGGAGGCATTTCACTGCAAATACAAGCCACATGTGAGATCTGAGGGACTGAGTGAAACTTCAAATACCTTCTATGAGAAGGGCATGAAAAGCCACATGAGGTCAATGTTTGGCACCACGATCACTAACTTCACTCTGTTGCTCACACCTTCATCATATACTGTGCACACATGTGAGGATGGAAGAACACACACAAAACCTGCATGTCACATCTGACCTCTTTGAAACTCTAAACCAAAAGCCAGCGTCTGTCAGGTATGTAGCTCTTGGAACACTTTGACCAGCGCTAGATGAATGCAATCCATTGTGATTATACCAAAATGTCCAAGCGGTCACTCCATTATTAAAAATCTAAAATGAGAACAGATGGGATTGTGGCACAAAACCGTAGGTGCAGCATCATTCTGGAGGGGGGACGGAATCCAGCCGTTCTCAGCAGGTGGAAGAGTCGGGGTGTCAGACTCTGGCTCCAGCCTCAGATCTAGCTCTGAGGACTGAGGATCCTTTCTCTACAGGAAGTCATAACCAGTAACACCTGAGAACTGTCCTGTGTAATCCTAGTTAAAATATGATATTAGTTTAGTCCTGGTGTGTCTCCTTGTGTGCTGCTGTTGTTTGTTTTCCCATTTTGACTCTCTGTGAAGTCTTGCTTTCATGTACATTGTGTCCAGTGCCATGTATAAATGGACTCAGCATCTCTTAGACCCCCCTATTAGAACCACACTTAGACTCTCTGGCACCAGAACCATAAGTGTATATGTCTCTCCATGCATGTGTGTGTAGTCACACAGTGACACTGACCACACATGAGAGGACTTTTCAAAGAAATACATTTAGACTGGATACATTCTTTCACTTTTACAGATGTTTCTATGAATATTCTTATATTTACAATGTATCCAATGACAATGGATACAATGATGACAATGATGTCTTACTGATAAACCCATGGAGAATTACCACCTGACTCAGTTCCCTCAAGCAGCTACCTACATTATTATTGCTGCTTAAAAAAGTATTCCGTCTGATCCAAGTAATACACAATAGACTATAGCAGTTGTTACCTCATTATTTCAACGGGATTTCCAAGACCACCATGTTTGAGTAATAAAGGGGGTTTCTGATGGCGTAAGTGGCATTCCGTCACATCCTGTTTATCACAAATAAAATGTCAGTAGTTCACAGTTAGCTCGTAATTTTATAATTTTCTCCAAACATGCTTTTGTGTTATGCATGGTGTGTGTGTGTGTGTGTGTGTGTGTGTGTGTGTGTGTGTGTGTGTGTGTGTGTGTGTGTGTGTGTGTGTGTGTGTGCATGCATATTTGTGTTTTCATTTAGACATGTGTGCATTAGCTCATCCAAATGAGTAATAAGTGTCCAGAAGCCATAAAAGGACAGTGTTGACTCATCTTGGCATGAAGGCCCCAACGGGTATCCAGGAATGAGACAAGCATTCAGAACCAGAAAAATAACTCAAACTACACCATCTTAGATCAGTAATGACACACACAAAGATCCGCCATTGTTTATGTCCAGCACAGGAATATAAAATGAACTCACTATGTGCGCTTCTTTTAAGATTTAGCAAGATTTACTGATTTGTCAAATGATGAACCTATAACATCCTACCTGTTTATCATTTTGATCTCCACTGTCTGTTCCCGTTCCATGGCTCTCATTCTCCATAGGTAACAAATAGCATGCATACTGTAGTTTGAACTGATGACCGCAGAAAAGCAAAGCCTTACTGGCAAAAAACCAAAGTTGCACACAAATATGATGTTTCTGAGCCATCTGCCTGTACAACCACAGAGTTAAGGACACATGGGCTACTTATTTGTTTGAACTGATTGCTAATTACCAAAAATTATGTATTTTTAAGACTGATAAGCTGGTAAACCACAGTAGCCTATCCTCAGTTCAAACAGCTTTTATTGCCATGTTAGAAGAAAAAAAACTATTTAGATCCCTCACTTCCTCATAGTCCCTTACCAAAACCCTCCTGAAATACAATCATATTTTTGATAATTTCCAATCTGGCTTCCTGAAACACTCAACAGAGACGCTCATGAGTGTCACAGATTAATTTTTGATGCATGAACCCTGCTGACTGCTGCAATCTGCTTGATATCAGTGCTGCGTTTCTGTATATCTTGAACTGTCTTATAATCAGACTGAATTTCCATTTTGTTTGATTTTTTTTCACTGTGTGGATTGCTGAAAAAATCTGAGATGTGGGCAGCGATTCAGAGTTCTGGAACAAGGCTATATCCGCAATTGCACATACATGATCTGAATCTTATCTGTCTGATAGAAGATCAGTGGAGTGTTATAGACCCCTTT